ACACAGAGGCATCCTCTTCCTCACTCAATCCGCTAGAATCAAATGCTTCTTCCTGACTGATGAAAGGGGGAAAGGGATGGCCCTGATCAAGGTTGACGTAAGTGACGTTGAGGTTAATGTAATGGTCTCCCTTTAGACAGGCTACAATATGCTCCACTTCTTCGATGAGGCTGGAAAAAGTTGGCCGCTCCTCAGGACTTGGTGTCCAGCAGTTAAGCATTATGGTATACCTGTCCAAAATAAATGAGTGAATTAGAGCTATGAAAACACCAACATTTGGCCTTTGTATCCCAGGTTATTGTAGTTGTGTACACCAGGGTCTATGTCATTGACATTCTCACAGTAATTAAAGGCAGAGGCTCCCTTCAGTTCTGTACTCTAGTCTTATCTCTTGACTTTTCATTGCTACAGGATTCTAGTCGGAGGCTTTATATAACGCTGCTCTAACTCAGCAGGTAAATATGCGACAAATAGCATAATGATGCTATGCTGGATTAGGAGCCAAATGGGAATTGTTAGCACTGGAAAAGGTAGAAAACAGACCCAACAGATTGAAATGAGGAGTGCAAAAGGAGAAGGATATGCTAAGATCCAGGTAATCATGAGGATTCCATGGAATATTGCAGCTTCTCTTAAATTAGGCCTTTAAGATATGACCAAATTGAAGAGATACAGCATAGGTATTTCAGTGGGTTAATAGTTTGAGGGAAGCTGCAGTAAGAACACAAGTTTCAACAGAACTAAGAAAGAAAAACTAATTAACTTTCCCATTGTGCTTTCTTTTCTTTTTAAATTAATGAATTGCAGTACTTAATTGAAATTTACAAATTAGTTTTATCAATTAGAGTTCAGGAATCAGAAGACCTTTTCTGGTACTTCCCATACAGCTTCATATCTCTTTCGCAGTTCTCTCCTTGGCTAAGCTAGCAGAAGGGTCCAATTGAATACTCACAGAGAATCTGGACAGTATTCAGGCTGGGGCAACCTTCGTCCTTGCAACAAGTAGCAGGTAATATCATAGGGATCCACCTCAGGGTATGGAGAGGCCCCTCGTGTCATCAGTTCCCACATGAGGACCCCGAAGGACCACTGGTAAGGCAGCAGAAGAGGGAAAGTACAGATGTCAATATGAGTGGGACGCAGAGAAAACACAAGCCATCACTAGGGCAGGTAAAATATCCAGCTAGACTGTTCCTTCTTCAAATTGCAAAGGAGAAAGGACTATGTTGCATATGCATGTTTTTCTGAGACTAGCATAAATTGGAGTCCAGGTAGATTCTGACACTAAGAAATGAGTGCTAAGAAAGTTACACAGTCTTAGCAGGAGCTTTCATAATGGCCTATTTTGCATATCCCTCACATAAAATTGTGGCTGTGTTGCCACAACACATTAACAAATCAAGGCATATCCAATTAATCCAATTCTGTGGGCTGAACAACACTATGAACCAAAATCTATTTATAACATCTGAGTTCAGCAAAACAGTAAAATGGAGTTGGCTAATTTGTGGTTCACTGTTTCATGGGAATGTAGACAATGTGGCCAGGACAACAACTGGGGGCAATGTTTCATCAGCCTGGCCATCGGGTGTCCTTGCTTGCACTTACTACATCTGACTTGGTGGTAAACTTTTGAGTTTTCAGGCTCTCAAGGGCCATCCATTTGACAGGTAGCTTTGCCCTGCGGTGTTTCCGGATGCTGTAATATTCCTTGTCAAAGATATCTCTGGCCAGCCCAAAGTCTGCCACTTTCACTGTATAGGTCTCATCAAGCCTGGATAAAAAAGGAGAATGGGATTAGGAGCAATGCAGCAGTCATGTTAACTCATCTTATTTGGCACCATTAAGGAATGCCAAAAGCTCCCTGGTTTAGCATGTGACGAAAACCAGGCTGTAATTCTAATAGAGATTATTGCTTGGGCATAGCATGCCACGTGAACATGGAAATTGCCTCTCCTACCCTCCTTAGGTTTCAGCCTGTTATATGCAATCAGAGAATGGATGTTTGTACAATTCATTTAATCACATCTGTTAAAACTCTAGCATGTATGCATCAAGCTAAACCTTTAACTTTCACTTGGGTTTTAATAGCTTAACAAACTACATTGACTAAACCCAATTGGTTATCTTATGGACCAGTATCTTGTTTAAATCATAAAATTGTAGATTTTGAATGACCCATTTAATCCTTCAAGTCCAGTTGCCTGGCTAGTGCTAGTGGGTCACTGATTCTACTGTCAAACTGCAGGAAGTTTTTCCTAATCTGCCTTCTTGTCACCTCAATCCATTATTGAGTACACTTCTCCATAAGGGTATAAGAAAATTGGCCTTGACCTTTTTCTGAGTATGTCTCCTCAGACACTAGGAAAGTACTAGCATACCATCCTCCCCACACCTCCATCCCATCCCCTGACTAAACATTCCCAGTTTCTTCAAACTCTCTTCACAGAATTTACTTTCTATTTACCAGAAAAATAAGTCAGAAGATTAAGCATCTTGTATAAATGATATAAATTTCTGAGGGGGGAAAAATCAATTGACCCAAGGGAGGAATCGAAACAAACTAGTTTGAAAGGTATTTCTGACAGACTTTCCCCATAGCTAGTCATATGGGGAGTGTTATTTCCACACAGGCACCTGCCCACAGCACAAACAAGCCTCAGCAACCTCTGTGGCTTGTTCTTGCCCTATTCTCCCTGTTTTATGATTCTGTGTAGATACACCCATGTTTGTACTTACATGCAGTTTCTGGCTGCAAGATCTCTGTGCACAAACTTCTTCTGGGCCAGATACTCCATCCCCCGAGCCACTTGTAGCCCAAAACCTATTAAATCCTTCACAGTGGGGTTCTGATGGAAAACAAGCAAACAAACAAAACTGTCTGACACCGAGGAAACTCACAACGAGTTCTCCATCTGGCTTTGAAGTTTATGCACCTCGAGAGAGCTGAGCTGCTTGATTGTGGTTCCCACAAGATAACACAGCTGAAGTTAATTTCAAGGCTGCTTCAGATATTGGACAAATTTTCTAAGAAATTTGGCTGAGAAACTGAGTGCGTCCCATTCACATATGATAGACGACAAAGAACCCACGCCTATAAATATAAACAGTGGAATTGGGGCCAGGGGAATCTCTGCTCAGTGCACACATGGCAAAGCAGACACTTGCTCACTGCTTGGCAAGATAGGAATAGGATGTGCATAATATAACACCCAGAATTGAGATGGAAGAGCCTTCTGAATTTTTCTTCCATAGCTTACAACTGGCTCTTTCACAGTGTGCCTGTATGGCCCCCTAGTGGTCAGAAGCATTCACTGTCTTGCCCATACTCAAAAGAACATGCCCCATGCTTAACCTATTGCCCCCTTTCCGTGAATAATGTTTTCATGTGATCCTGGATTTGAATATAATAGCTGCAAGGAAAATCTTGGGAGGATAAATCTTGTTGTTATCAGCTAAATTTGTTTTTTTTAACGTTGCACTCCTCTGCAAAGGGTGGCTGATGTGTTTATCTCAAAAGCTACCTGCAAGGGAAAATATCCATTTTTATCAAGCAAGGGGGAGGCGTTTTTAGTTGATCAGCAGTACATCACAAGTGACAATTAACAACTGCCTAATATTTCATAGTATGTTTACAACGGGAATGAAACGAGGAGCAGAAGAGATGAGTTGGAAGTTATTCCTTTTTCAAGGCCCAACTGCAATAAAATTACGAGGCGAAGCTTATATGGACAATTCTTTAAAAATAATGTTGTAAGAGAACATTTATAAGATAAATTTTGCCACAGCCACAGTGCCAATAGATTGGAGGTGGAAGAGAAGCCTGCCAACAGTCAGAATGCTACCTCTATTTGTTTCTCCAGGGGAAAAAGGGAGATTTTAAGATGCCAGGATCTTTCAGCTATTTGTTCAATTAGAGGAAGGAAGCTGTATCAGACATCAGCTAATGCTCCTACTGTTCTACCTTTCTCAGAGTCAGCAGAAAGACCCAAAGCAAAACAATCTATCTTCTGAAAACCCAGAGCTCCATCTCGTTTCATCAACAGAAAGTACCACTGGTAAGAGAATTAGTTTCTTGCATGTGTATTTCTGGAATCTGACTTTAAAAGATTTACCTTACAAACCCTACAATGCTACAGGATAGATTTAAGGACTTATATCTGCTGCATCCAACAGCCAGCCCAAGGCTCATGGATGAGGATGTCACAAACAAAACAAAAGCACACCACAACTGAAAGGGATAAGAAAGGGCTGAATGCATCATCTCTGGGTAAGCTCTTCCTTAAAAACAATTTCATTCCGCAAAGAAGAGATAAGGAACTCCAAACCAAGGGGCGATTCAGAAACAGGAAAGTGGCTGGCATTGATTGTCGCTCAAACAAGGACCCCAAGATCTGGCACCACGTACCCTCTGCTCTGAACGGATAAAATGTCGGAGATCTCCGTGCCTCATGTAAGGTAGAACCACCAGGGGGAGACCCTCCTTAGGCAAGGTGATCCCAATGAGAGAAAGGACATGGAGGTGATGGAAGCTCTTCATCAGAATCCCTTCCTTCAGGAACTCTTCCACCTCCTCCAAGTCAGTAATTCCTAAGAGGGGAAAAAAATGAAGAGATTGGATCAATATTCTCGGTAGCAGCTTCCCCTCCCCTCTCCAAGACTTAAGGAATCGTGAAACTGTGAGCAAAAGTTTCTGAGAAGTCATCTTGCACGCATATAAGCAAGAGATCTTAGGGGGGAAAAACAGCGTATTGAGAGCCTTTTCGAACTTCCATCAAGTAGAGGAAGTCTGCCAATGGGAATAAGGATGGAAGATATTGCCAGAGTAAAAGAAAACCAATCATACGTTATAATACTGGACTGGGCTGGTTCATAGGCACCTCTAGTTTTTATGTTTGAAAGGACTAACAAAGGACGAATGGCTCCACGGATCACCTTGTGTTGATTTAAGGGTTAATTCAGATGATTAGAAACAGAGTATTCTTACTTCCCTAGGCCAAGCCCCAGTTTGGAACCAGTTCTCTCTCTCCTTAAGAGTATCCAGAGATACTTCAATTGGTGTTGTCTTACAAATACAAAGATGTGAGCTGAAGTATTAGTTTGTGTGTTTGTTTGTGTGTTTGTTTATTTATTTATTTAATCTTGCTGTTATTAAAGTTTAGTGAATACAGGAACTCCTATTCCTGTATTCAAAAACATTGATTGGTGGGGCATTATAAACTGACAACAACACTCTGCTGCAGAAAATACCATTAAAATGACTGCTGAAGCAGTTTTTAAAATTAAGATCCACTTGCCATGACCTGGTTAATGTGCTATTCACCTGCCCATATATGCCAGAACAAAATGTGTTTCTCCTATCATCCATTTCTTTATAAACTCTCTTTTGGCTTGCAATCAAACAGCGGATTCTTTGAATTTGGACATGCATGACGTGTGAAGCAACATTGATTACACCCTTTGGGCTTTGTTATCCTCCCTCCACGGACAAGACATCGCAAGACTGCTGGACTTGATTGATGCCTTGATGGATAACTGAACTCATGGGGTTAAGTTTCTGTCAAAACCTACCATCTCCATTCTCCCCAAAACCTACCAAGCAGACAAAAAGCAGGCAAATCTTATTGTTTTAAATGCACCCCTTCCTGGGACTGGGGATGAGCTGCCTGTTGTTAGTTAATAGTTAAACCTATTAGACTGACTCGGACAAAAGAGGCCACCGGAGCAGACAAGAGAGCAGGTATGCTATACTTTTCAGTTAGCTGTTGCTTCAGAAGTTTGCTTGCAGCTGTGCCATGTTCCCCCCTCCGGAAGACAAAGAATGGAGGAAGAGGGCAAGCTCTGTTGGGAAGAAGCAGGCACTCAGCAGCTCAAAATGACAACAAATATTTGGCTTATCCTGCCTGCCTTCTGGTCAGCTGACTTACACTGCTACCAGCAGCAACCAGTGTGACAGGCGCTGAAACTGCCATTGATTGTTCCTGGCTGGAGGGAAGAACACTGATTTAACACTGGCATATTTAAGCAGGACTTAGGGCTACCTCAGATATGAACTGCAGAAGAGGTGAAGACAACACCAGGGGGACATGGCAGAATATTCTTAATGCCAGGAACTCTTTGCATAGTGACAAGACCAAGAGGAAAAGGCCCCATGACCGTGCCATGTTACAGAACAAACTTACGAAGAATGCATAGAAAGTCAATGCTCCCCAGCCCCACTTTGCTTCTTTAAAAGTTATCTCAGGGTTTATCTGGTAATAAAAATGCCAGTCTTTGTCTTTAATACAGAATTTGCTTTAAGCTCCAGGGTGGATGATGCCTCTTTGCTCAGAGGAATGGTAAAAACTTCTCATAGTATATATATAACCTAAGCAAGTAAGCAAACAAACAGGACAGCAGTGATGCCTGTAAAAGTTTGTTTATGCCAAGATGGAAGATACTGTCCTTTCGTAAGTAAGTGAGTGAGTGAGTGTGTGTGTGTGTGTGTGTGTTCAACTTAGTGTTGACTCTTGGCAAAGGCCTAAAGGGGAACAAGAATTCATGGTACCCTGGTTTCTAGCCTTATGCTTTAAACCACTAAAGCAAACTGGCTCCTTATAATTATGGAACACTATTTTTTGAAACAAGACATTATTGTGTCTTGTACTTTATCATGAGCCTATGATCCCTTGATTTCTTTTCCACGTTAATAAACTGGTCCATTAGTTACTAGTTCCAGGTTTATTAATTAGTTTCATAAAAGGAAGAGGAATTACTTACGGTTTAGGGATTTAACAGCACACCGAATCTCTCTCTGGGATGAATCTATGTAAGTTCCATGGTAAACACTCCCAAAATGCCCTGGATGGAAAAAAAGAACAAGTTTTACACATAGGCACCAATATCGACATTAGCAAATCCAGATGCTACACCACCTCTGTCTGTGCTGGAGCATCTGAACATCAAACAACAATACTATAAAGAGAATACAATTGTTTTAAGTGTTAAAAATATACAGAATTTGAAATATATAGTATATATGGTATATAGTATACTATATATATATAGTATATATAGTCAGAGATGGACTTCCCTAACAGACAACCAGTGCCAATACAACTTATATCCAACTATATTGATACCCAATCATATTATTTGACTTAATAACATACATTTGTCTCAGTTTTAAGATATCTAATTGCTTTTAATTTTTTCCAATTTAATATGCTTCTTAGAATAGAATAATGGAGTTGGAAGGGACTTTGGAGGTCATCTAGTCCAACCTCCTGCTTAGGCAGGAAACCCTATACCATTTCAGACAAATGGTTATTCAATCTCTTATTTGGAGCATTTATAACTTCTGGAGGCAAGTTGTTCCACTGATTAATTGTTCTAATTGTCAGGAAATTTCTCCTTAGATCTACGTTGCTTCTCTCCTTGATTAGTTTCCACCCATTGCTTCTTGTCCTGCCCTCAGGTGCTTTGGAGAATAGCTTGATTCCCTCTTCTTTGAGATATTGGAACACTGCTATCACGTCACCCTTAATCCTGCTTTTCATCAAATCAGACATACCCAATTCCAGCAACCGTTGTTTATATGTTTTAGCCTCCAGTCCCCTAATCATCTTTGTTGCTCTTCTCTGCACTTTCTAGAATCGCAACATGCCTTTTTACATTGTGGTGACCAAAACTGGATGCAGTATTACAAGTGTGGCAGTGGTGGGATTCAAAAATTTTTACTACTGGTTCTGTGGACGTGGCATGGCTTGCTGGGCGTAGCTTGGTGGGCATGGGAGGGGAAGAATACTGTAAAATCTCCATTCCCTCCCCACTCCTGGGGGAAGGTTACTGCAAAATCCCCATTTTCTCCCAACCTCACTAACCTGCTTTCCAGCTCTGTTCTCCTCTACAGGGCAACCAAAGAAGACCTAGCAGATCAGCTGGGACTCGGGAGGCAGAGAATAGATGGGGGCGGGGCCAGTCAGAGGTGGTATTTGCCAGTTCTCTGAACTACTCAAAATGTCCGCTACCAGTTCTCCAGAACCTGTCAGAACCTGCTGAATACCACCTCTGAAGTGTGGCCTTACCAAGGCATTATAAAGTGATATTAACACTTCATGTGATCTTGATTCTATCCCTGTATTAATGCAGCCTAGAACTGTGTTGTAAGATTGTAAAGTATGAAAACGGTCCTTTTTTAATGCCGTTGTAATTCTGAACTGTCACTAAACAAACTGTTATAAGTCAAAGACTACCTGTACAAAGTTAAACACATCTTTGTGTAACATTTTAATTTCATACATATTATTTTTGCCTAGCTACTGTATTTACAGGTTCAAAATAAAAAAATAGAGAATTCATTAATTCCACAGAAGTTTGTGCACCCTTCCAATTCATTCAATGTTACTTCTTCTTTTATTTCTCTACTGTAAACCTGTTAATAAAGTTAAAAGGGCGATTCTTTTAGGTTAATAATTAGCCAGATAAAGAGGTGAAGAAATTCTTTGTCCCTTCTAATCTTTCAGATTGTGATTGTTATTCTGTCTACTTTTAACAACCATGGACTCTTCTATCATTTCTCAGAACATCTATGAATGAAGATAAAATGAAAGCTGTAAAAAAACCCACCTAAACATTTCTAATTAGCAATTTCAACTGTCAAAACCATTGTTATAAAACTGAAAATTACATAGAATAGATATAAGTGAAGGAAAGATCTGGAAGACCAAGAAAATATCTGCTTTGTCAAACATAAAGTAGTAGGAAGGGAACTTGAACTAAATACTTGAACTAAAAATAGGATAATTACTATTCAGATATTTTATATTCCCCCCACCCCAAATGATGGAACCTACATCCTATGAAGTGCTACAGGTCTGTTAACAACTATTAGTCAATTTCTGTTTTTAAAGTTTTGATCTATATGGTAAAGACAGGCTATATAGTTGATATGTTTTGGAAATCAAATGAATATGCACGCTGTCATTGAATTCTAATATGGCTTTTGGATGCAAACCTCCAAGGTGTCTTCATCATTCGTCCCTCCCCTGATTAACCTCTATTCTACAACATCATTCAACATCAACATAAACCCCACGAATTACAGAATAATTTAACCCTATTAACCTTATTATGAGTGATCACACAGTAGAAACATTACAGCAATAAAATGAATATGTCCATATTTAGACACATACAGTTACTGAAAAAGTATTGCAGTGCTGTAAGAATGCAGGAAATAGTCATTGTAACAGTATAATAAAAAATAAGCCAAATTGGCGTTCTTATTAGAAAATATCAGACAATGAAGAAATGTCAATCGCTTTTTTATTTTGTCACAAAAAGAAATTGATTCCTGGGAGATGGTTTAAAATGATGTGCTCATTTAATGAAAGAAAGAAATATGATATTCTGAATTTCGGTATGAACTAAACAGTCCAGCATAATCTTTTGTAACTAGCGTATACAGGCCTATAATGATCTAAAGAGTGAAGAAATAAGGAACTTTAAAAGACGGAAGAACCAGACATTTCCTGACACGTGGATGCAGTGGAATTAATGGAATGGCTGGAATTCATGTAAAATAAAGAGAAATGAAAGGACTGGGGTCTAGTTTGAATAAGTAAATCCAGAGCTCTAGACTTTGGAAAGTGTCTGGCAAACATTTCCTGTTCTTGATACTCAATCTTGTTGGATTGAGCAGAGAAATAGATATTTGTGCTCAATAGCAGTGAGATATATTATGCTGCCTTTCAAGTTTATTTAGATTACAGTGAAGTACTCTTTTGGACAAACCATAAGAGCATGGCAACAACAAATGCCTTTTCTTTCCCTTCTTCTCAGATTTTCACTGTGCTTTCCATTTTGATTTGACATCAAGACAAATTCTCCAACGAGCTAGCATGGTATGAGCTACTTCAGAGCAAACCTTTGATTTAATGGGCCACTCAGGAACCAGGAGTCCTGAACCTGAATATTTATTAAATCTGAATCTAAAGTGTTTCCAACAATGTAAATAATTTATGGAATTACGTTGTTTTTTTTGCCATAAATTGTGTCACTTGGAGTAAAATCTCAATTTCACAGACCAACCTTTATCTTTATCTCCAGGCCCTGACCAATCTTTGTTGCTGTCATTCCTTATTCTGCTTTGCTAGCAAATAAGGGCAATGAAGCAGGCTGAGTGTACGCAGGAGAGAGTGGCATCCTCAGAAACAGTCACCTCCACAGGTTGGTCTCGGCCCTCTTTCTTGGCCAAACAGAATCCAGCATTTGATCTGAATTGTATAGCTTGGTGAGGGTAGGGGATGGGTGGGAAGCAATGGTGGTATGCTACCAGTTTGTATCGGTTCGGCCAAATCAGTAGTAAAAACGATCAGCTGAGAGGAGGAAAACAATCCTCCGACAATCAGCTGAGGGGAGAAAGAAGAGAAAAGCACAGGATTGGCCCTCCTATTCGCCCCTGCTCTTTTCTCTTCTTTATCCCCTCGGCTGATTACCGCTGCAAGTCTCAGCTGGTGTGGGGAAAAGCTGTTAGGGCAAAGCACACCCACCAAGCCACACCCACTGAACCAGCGCTAAAACAATTTGAATCCCACCACTGGTGGGAAGTACAAAAATTGTGGCTCCAGCAAGTCAGAAACTGCATACGAGCTCTAGAAAAGTTTGGGGGAAGTGCTCATCACCCATGATACCAGGTGGCTTGTTACGAACCAAGTTAACATGTTCATTAACAACCCTAATAGTTTTACTTCAACAGCAGGCTTGTAATCCTGCACTTCTGATTGGCCCGCGAATAGCGAGTCGTGATTGGTTGTTCCTGGCTGATCTGATTGGCTGACAGCGGGGCGACTCTGATTGGACGTTTCTTAGAGCGGTAAACTCAAATCATTGGTTGTTTTGACAGCAGCCAGCTCTATAAAAGAGCTGCTGCTGCCCAAGTATTTTGCTCTGTTCTGAAGTCACTAATAAAGAGTTGAAGTCACAGATCGATGCCTCGTCTCCGTTCCTTGCGCCCATGCTCAGGACATAACAGGCTATTTTTTTTAGTGTATCATTCTTTGGGGGGGGGGTGGAGTTCTGAGCATTTATGTAATTATAAATCTTGTAAATATTAACTTTTGCCTTTATATGGGGAAAATGACAGAGATCATGGTTAAGACCTCAATTCCCACTCCACCCTCCATAACATATCCTGATGGGTGGATTCTTCCCATTGGCTGATGATGTCTGGAAAGAGGGGAAGGCAGCAAAACTGGAAGAATCCACCAATGGTAGGAAAGTAAATCATCATCACAGGATTCTTCCATTCATCAGCAAGGCAAAACACAGCAGAAGTAAGAAACAGGGATTTATAATAGCAGAGATTTTCATCCCAGCTGATAATTTGGATTGTAGATACTTGGATTGCACTTTAGGTGGGGGCAATAGCCCCCAAACATTTTTCCCCCCGAGTGTCGTGGATAAAGGGCTATAGCACAAAAGTACCAATAAAATCAATAAAATCATCAATCATCTATTCTATTCTGTTCTATTCTATTCTATTCTATTCTATTCTATTCTATTCTATTCTGTTCTGTTCTGTTCTGTTCTGTTCTGTTCTGTTCTATTCTATTCTATTCTATTCTATTCTATT